CCTCTGTTGATCTGTAGTCCCCGACGCTAATGCTCTTTCATTTTAGTGTTTAAATTTGTTAAAAGAATTGCTAAGTTAAAGCCAAGAAACCCCTGAAACATTGCAAGAAAAGTCGATTGTCTGCCTCTGCATCCTGCAGATCCTAGAGATTTCTGATTCAGTCAGCAAATGCCTAAACTCTACGCACGTCCCATTGTCTTGATATCGAGTGACATATTAGCGTTTCTTCTGACGAAGGTCACATTCCAGTCAAAGTAACAACTTGCACTGGTTGACTTCATAGGTCTTCTAGTTGTAGCTCAAAGTATGTTGGTCATGGGTACCTGACAAATTTGCTGTCAGATCACTAGTGACGGAAACAAAAGACTGACATGCAGTAAACGTCTGTTACGTCGCCTTATGCACGGTGTGAATGTGTCGATGAAGTTCAACCGAACTGTTCTTTGTGCTACTTTCTATTACGTATTTATGAGTAAAGGTATATAAGTTATTTTCCACTGGTTATGTTTTTCACATTCTGATTAAATTTTTGTAATTAGCCTTCGTTCGCCCCTGGAGGTCATTAATCGAGGTTAGGCGGTTTTGAGGGTCTCTCCATTTATTTGCTGCTGCCAATAGAGCATTTAAATAACCACGGCTGTATGGTTTCTAAGCTAGTCCAGTGCATTGCCCCGTAGACATCTAAGATCAAGAGCGAGTCGCTTTTCCTTAAAACGTTATTTTATATAGTTGCCAACATTCTCCTGGCGATCCAACATATTTCTAATATTGCTGCCTTTATGGACTTGCGCCTCCTGAAATATTGCTGTTGGAAAGCAAATCCTTACCATAGCACTAATAAAGTTATTTAAAAATGCGTTTTAGCATTGGTAGTCTAATTTTGATGACGTGGTGGCAGAAAGTAACAAAGCGGCCCGGAGGTGCCGGATTCTAATCCACGTAAGGGGTCATCTTTGTCTTAATCGCGAATTTCCTTTACCTCCTTTTACTTCAGTGCATCCAGCCAAGAAGTGGACAGGAAAACTCTGACTTACGAATAGCAGGGCAGCATAGTATTCTGGAGTGATCATAGCAGAATGGAGGAGTTGTACCGCCATTCTGTCTGATTCGATCGCCCCTTGTTGCTGCACTTCGTCTTGACCCACCTGATAGCTGATTATCCAGTGTAATAGTAGGCCCAATTTTAACCCTGGACAAAGGTGTAAATGTTTCCTAAATGCCATTGGTAAGCAAACGAAAGTTATTGGGCGCAGAAGCTTGTTAGGGTTTTTGTATGGTGCTGTTTAAAATGGGGTCAGAAATGGAAGAAAATCTGAAGGAAGTCATGTTCAGTTATATGTCATTTTGTCGACTTTCGCACTAAGTATATGTCGGGCGACTATTGCGTATCTTTGCTTTATTAGCGAAAGTTTGATTGTCCAGTCTGTTGCATGTTTTCACTGTTTTGTCTGCTTTCCGCCTGCGGTTTGTAAACATTTTACTCTTTGATCAGAATTTCTGTCGTATGGTTATTTCTGTACACTACAAGTAAATGTTGATACGGCGTTTCATTACTGTAAATTGATCAACGAATTGACACCTAATTTGACAAATGGCCTTTTATGCAAGACAATACTGATCCTGTCATCTGTGATCTTTTGCAGATCTGATTGTAAGAGTTCATAACCGTGATAATGCAAGGTGTCTGTGTTGCTGTTGGCAGAAGTTTAAGTTTGTTGCTGCTAGTTTTTCAACTTAATTTATGCGTGGAATCATTCAGTTGAACGTTTCTTTTGGTTTCTTCTTTCTGAGATCCCATCATTTTTTATGGTCCGCTTTCTTGTTTCCTTTATGTAATAACTTTTAGAAGGCATATCCGTTGGGCCAGTCATTCAGCCAGAGTCAGGCACTGCAAATGAAGAGTCGGTTTCAGGTCTACTGGAGGTTCTATCTGATGCGGTTGATGAAGTTAAACGCGATTTAGAAGTGCCAGCGTCTACTCATTCGACGGAACCTCTTCCATCAGCAGACGACAAGTCGCCATCATCAGTTATGTTATTTGATTCTGAAGCAGCTTCGCGCAACAGTCAAGTACATGCTGTTAAAGATGAACAGTCGAGCAAAAGCACAGCCATTAAGGAAATCGCTGAAATAGCATTTGATCAGAACTTATGTGATCTTGATCTCAGTGCAGCTCCTACCAAGCAGAAAATTACCAAGCGAGATTTTACTTCTGACGGTGGCTCGAAACAGCGCGCTGTACTGAAGTCAGATGTTTTCAGCGACCTCGACGTACTGAACAAAATGAACAAGTGGACTTTCCGAAGCGATACCAATTAATACTTTATTTGTTTTCATTGATTGTCAATTAAATCATTTCTTTCTTCGCGTCGGGTTGTTGCATTTATTATTCATTTTTTATTTCTAACTTTTGGAAACATTGTATTGCACAATTTCATGTTTGGCTATCAGGTGGAAAACTTGAGCATTAAACGCGCGCGCATCACTGAGGTAGCTTTACTTTTTAATGCAAACTTTTCAGTTCTGCTGTTTTTCGCGAACTCAAAATATGTAACTGCAGTGTCGAGTAGCTTGTAAGTTTAAATTTATGTACATGTCCAAAAATACTAGATGCCAGCCTTCCGTGCTTCCATAGCGTCGGAGAGAGCAGTGATTAAATATTGAGATGTGCCGCTTTGTGCATGTAGGGCGTCTTAATCAGAGTCACTGTCCTTCTAGCTCATGACATCTGCAATAAATGATCGTCAAGTAGAGTATTCTGATTGCGACCGATCCGATTGAGCTTTAAGCGGTGGCGACGGTATATGGCTATTGAATAGTGATGCCAAAGAATTGTAAAATTCTTGGGGCTCTTGTTCAGGAGGCATTTCAGCAGCTCGATTGTTTTAGTGCGTGCGAGCAAAAAATCGCGGAAGGTTCTACAGTTTCCAC